CAGCCAACCCCACACTAGAGTTAGAGTCATTGGCGAGTTGAAGCAGCATAGCGGATCAAAATTCGACTACTCAACAACAGCACCAGAGAGCAGTTGGGAGCCAAGAGGCGCATTGTAGCTGGAGTAGAAGATTGAAGACTCAGCGAAGGTGAGAAGTTACAGTGTCAACGAAGGCTTCGACGAGAACGTCGAAGGAATTAGTGGGGGAGAATGTCACAGACAAAATTCTAAACAAGATGTTTGATGTAATTTTATGTATGTCCGTGTCTTTTGGTTTGTTCATGCTTTGCACAACATGTAGAGGGACGGTCAGAGACTTAATAACCCCATTTTAGTTGGGTCTGGTGGTCGTTGTAGGCTTGTAAATAAAAATTGTATCATGTGGACATTTATAAGAGATATTCAGTCTGTAGTGGACCATTTTGACCCTTTGTTGTGCAACCGTTCAGTGCTTGAAAAGTCCGTTTGTAATTTGCATTGGCTATGAAGTGTTTTGGAAATGTTTGCTTGTGGATCCCAAGTGAGGCGCTTTCTCTAACCCATTTTATCTTTTGTAGGTCATGAGGGACCATGAGAGGTTTCGGGGAGACTGACCTTTGCGGACGGACACGCAAGGGTGCTGCACGACTTAGGCAAAACCAGCTAAGTCCGTGAGAGCACCCTTACGAATCCTAAGATGATATATATCCATGTAACTATCTTTTTGTTTTAAATGCAAACAAGATCATATATTTGGTTGTCGTTTCAGGTTTGACAAACTCTCCAACTTCCTTTCATAAGAAGTTTGACAATTATGCTATATGGAAGAAAAGATGCTATGACCACTTTGCATTGGATCCCATATTTTTTTTCTTATTTCATTCATCCAAAACCAAGGAGATGGCTCAATGTATTATTTAACCATTACCTTTCCACCTGATTTAGCTCAGGACCCTTCCAAACGACGACAACCAATATTTTTTTATTTTAAGAATAACAACAACAGAGTCAAATATCTGTCACAATAATGCATAAAAATAATGTCATTCATGTTTAAATGTCTTGAACCCTACTATATCTCTAGCTGTTATTCCTGACTGCTAAGTCTTAATGTTTTAATGTCTTGACCCCTGCTAGAGTTCTGGTAATTATTCATGTCTGCTAAGGATGATAGAACTGGGAAATTGGCAACCTAATGTGCTGATTAATACCTGAAAGCCTTGTACCAATATACAAGTGCATGATCCTTTTCCGTATTCTGAGAATCAGGATCCTGATGTTTGTGCAACTCAAATGATTATCAAGCTTCTGTTGTTTGTCTTCTAGATTATACTAAATTACATGTTCAGTTTTTGTTTGAGGCTAAGATTGTTTTGAAATCTTCATGTGAGAAATCTAGATAATTGTTGTATTGAATGTTAAATTGGCATCTTATATCTTTTGCATTTTAGAATCTTGCTATGGTAATGCTTACTTTTTTTTCCATAAATACCTTAAGATTTCGGTATAGGCAAAAAGAACTGTATCAATTGTCTTAGGCTTTTCTTTATTACATATACTCAGAAAGTTATATTAAACAAAAGCCCTATCCTTCTCATATACTTCAACATATTCAGCAAATGCTAATCAGTCAGCATCATTAGTATGTTGAACATAGTATAACAAATACAACCAAGAACTACAATTTCAACTAGACTGGTCCACACTAACCAGTATTTTGACACCCCACTTTAGTCCAATATTGGAAGTGGAAGAAGACAAATCAAAGCCAAACTAGTATGGGATATACTGAAGGGTTCAAGTAGGAAAGGGCTTTTAACATTGTCCTGATGTGAAGCATCTATTGTGCAGAGCCTCATGTGCACCATACTAGAATTTAATTATCCTACACGAGTACGTTGAGCCCTTATGATATATGGATTTAATCCTATATTGGAAGTGGAAAAAGACTTAAATTGACTTATAAAGACTAGATGAGTCTATTATAAACTATTGAGCTCAAGCATTTGGGGTCAGTAGTTCACACTCAAAAAGTTAATGGATCCATTATCCCATAATGTTAGGTTGTGATAAATATTACTTGTCCAACCATGAGCTAACATGCAGTTCAGGCAATATTGCCAATTCGTTTTCATATTGGGCCATCTGGCATGCTTATTATACCATGGTGCTGCCTAATATTGCTATCAATATCGAGCTGTATCGGATGGTAAGTTTATCATTTGATGCGAGTGCTCTTCCCACTCTTTTCTCCTTTTCTTGCTTGATTTTTGCTTTCTTCTTCTTTCTTATCCATCGGTTGATTTAGCACTATATAGTGTAGATGGTAACTAATAATGCAGTCTAGTTAGGCTTAACTAAATATGCATTGCGTCTAAATCATCAAAAGTAGTAGCAGCACATAGAGGAATATCAGCAATGAAATGATTCTGAAAATTCTTAGAGAGAATGGCATTAATCTGAACTTGACACATACCATTCCAAGGTCATTTAACTTGATAAAATTAAACTCAGATTTTCTTTTCTCCTCATCAGCAAGATTTCTGTGCCAAGTTAGAGGAGGAGGTTGCCAACATTCAACCTTAGCCTGAAAGAAAATGATTAAGTAAAAAATAAAACTCTTAAACACAATCTTAAGAAATTGTGTTTTACAAGAAAAAGTAACTTCCAGAATTATGTCTCAGCATAAATTACATGTTTGTAGTCAGTCTTAATATCTTATGTCACCTAAGAAGCAACTTTGCAATTTAAACTAAATGTTCTTTTGAATACAGTGAATCACTAATTGAATAACAAGAAATTGTTTACATCCTATATAGCATAAGATCACTTTGGGCCTCCCTGCCTAGCTAATATGGAGAGCAAGATGCAAATAGATGAAGAAAATTTTTGTAGTCATTTTGTCTTGAAATTGATGCATCCAGTATTTGAGATTTATCAATGGAATTGCCATTGTTTACCAAAAATGTTCTATACAGTAGAAGATAACATCTCACACCATGTAGAGCATTTTTTTTCATGCATCTCAAAGGTGAATCAATTAAGTTATAGAATACATAGTGTTTGGATCCACTGGAAGGATTGAGGATAGTGGAGGTACTGAACTTATCCAGAGTTTTGTTCTTGTTGGATGCTCAATAAGTTATTAATTTCACAAAGGAACCACTGTTGTTCCTTGGTTTTTAGAAGCTATTGTATCTAATATTAGATCCCTGTTCTGTAGGTTATTGGTGGTAAACATTTGTCATTTGCCTATAGAGTACAACAGTGTGCTCATAGGCTTGCCTCTTTTGGTCAGGCACGACGTTCATCCATTTTTTTGTAACTTTACTGCTCAGTTCTTGATTACTTAGTAATGAAAGTTTCTTCCTTTCAAAATTGAAGTTATAGAATACATATGTACTTTGAATACATTTCAATCACTAGTATTAATGTTTTCCTCTTTGCTATGTTAAATTAAATAGAATCCAGGCAAGCACACAAGTGTGCAATATAGAAATGAGAGGAATAGAGAAATGACCAAGTTTAAGAAACTTATAATTTGAATTAGCTATAGAAAAAAGTGAACAGAGTTCAATTACATCCCCTTGACAAAGTCAAATAATATGTAGATCTAAATCCTATTTAACAAAAACAACTCAGGATGGATCAAAAAGCTAAATCCATGAATGCTCAACAGGTTAAGCGTCTATAGAAAGGTTGCTGTTGGTGCAAATCGGGGATTCACTCACCTACAAATTGAAACTGATTCCTCAATAATATATGACATCTTTACCAAAGATGATGTTCCACCTTGGCGTTTGTGGATCATTATACAACATATCAAAGCACTTCTTCAACGACTTCATGCAATTTCTTACACAGTTATAGAGAATGTAATCAGGCAGCCAGTTGGGCTGCCAATGATGCTAGAGTTAGTCGTTTATCACTATTCTGGAGGACAATTATCCCACTGATTTGTCATTTGTATTTGTCAAATGACCTTGACAGGTCATTCTATAGAACCTTAAAGCAGTAATTTAATTTCTTTATTAAAAAAACGATTAAGCATCTATCCTATTTACTAAAAACAACTAAGGATGGATCAAAAAGCTAAATCCATCAACATCCACTATTATTTGAGCACCTGAATATGACAAAAAAAGATCCATGATATTTTCGTCACAGTAACAATGGTCAAATTGCATTGTAGTTACTCATCTTTCTTTTTGGCAACAAGTCTGCTACTCTGAGACAGTTAATCTGAGACAAGTTCATCTTGAACAGGCACTTTTTCCATGGTAGTCTTCCAAAGTCCAGAACAGAGCATGTTAGATGGAATGTATTTATGAACTTGGTACCATATGAACCAGAAAAAGAGCAAAAAATATATAAGAAAGATTCTTAAGGACAATTATCAAGATCCAATCATAACCAAGTAAAAGAAAATGGAAATTACTTCCACAAATAAAATTCATAATAGAATATGTATTAGAACAAGTTAAATCCACATACCGTGCATTCTGCCATGGTACCGGAAAAATTGGCTGGAAAATTCTCTCCTTTGTTAAATCTGTTTGCAGAATTCTACAACCTTAGCAAGTTTGATTCCTTGGCAAAAACATGTACAAGTTCAGCATTCATGTCACATTTTGAGATAGTAAGTCCATGCAAGGCAGAAAAGTAAAGTTAATATGGTGCATGTTGAATAAAACTTGACTTCAGTATACATCAAAAACATTATAGAAGGATGTTAATAACAGAGAACCGAGTCTCTTTCCAGTGTCCTTTGCCTAGTCATAATATACATGAGCATCCTAAGACTTCAAGAACATTTAAAGTCAAGATGATCATATTGTAGACTATATATATGTTGCCATCGATGATCACAAAGTCTAATACAGTATGCTTTGACCAGTAGAGCTTAGACTGAGCTCAAACAATGGGCTAAAAAAATAAGACCGTCAAATGAGCCTATTGATGAAAAGATACTGCAGAAAGCTAAATTTAAAGAGCAAGTCCTGCTTCCTAGTAATTGAATCGGGCAAGCTGTTTCCTCCCCTGCTTATTGAAACATGAATTCATGGCGAAGTCAAGCAGAAGACGCTCGAATTCATGGAAAGGATCAAAGAAGGGATTCTACAGCCATGTAATAGGATCTTATTAGTTGTGGAAGATTCGTAAAGATCTTTTTACTTGGGGGAAAAAGACATCCTCCTGACACGAACCCTTTCCATCAAGAAAGATATCTTCTTCCCCTGACAAAATCCTTTCTTTAGCAAAAAGAAGAACGACGCACATATCCGAGATCAAGAACTGAGATCAGAACAAAAGATTCGTGCCTCGAGAGAAGATCTCCAACGTACAAAAAAGTAGTCATGATTCGAGAACTGAATGATGGGGGAGGAAAAATAATAACTCACAGTGGAGCAGGAGGGAGCACCCGAGCAAGAGGCCCCGTGATGGCAGTAACCGCTGAGAACTGCTACTTTATTTGTGGTCGCTTTATCCCTTTGAAATACAGTGCAGGCGCAAAAAAAAGCAATTCATGTCAACGTTAAGAAGTCTATGCTCGACCAAACCGAGGGTAAATAATGGGATAAAGATATCAAAGGATATGAAATATCTGACGGGACGAGAGGGATCAGCAAGAGGCGGAGTATCCACCAACGTCAACAGCTGCTCCAAATCGGAAGAATTAGTAGGTTACGGATGAGATATAAATTGAGTTAGCTAAAAAATCGGATTACAAAATACAAAACAAATATAAACGATTTAACGTAGTTTGGATTACGACATAAACGTCGTTCCAACATTCACGAGAGAAGAAACTCCCGACGAAGAACTTGAATTGTTCGGTAATGGGGGAGTCGCAGCAACACGATAACGACTCGTCCAGAGAAAAACATAGAATTACCCTATTGACCAAAGTGAGCAGTGGATCAGAGTTGACCAGTCAATGAGCGCAATGGCCGACCGACGATGGAGATCAGCGACCGGACTTGTCGTCGAGGAACGACTTTGGTCGGATTTCCATGGAGCAATGGGAAATCCCTCCTCTTCACCGTCTTCCTCCCTCGCTTCTCTCTATCGTCCGTCGTTCCCCCAAAGCTCCATTTATAGGAGGGGCAAGGAAATGTGGAGGGCTCGCTGCCCGCAACCGGAAAGGTGCGGCTGCACGTGGGATGTCTGCGGCGATGAAGACCGCAGCGGGGAGCATCGTGGCCGGTGACACGAGTGCAGGGGCGTGAGCAACAGCGGGGGCTGCGTGATGAGGTCTCGCGAGTAAATTCTATTACGTGAGGCTTTTTTTATTATTTTTTTTTTCAAAAATAATAACTTAAAAGAATTCAGAATTATTGCAAAAACATCTCTTGATTTGATTACGTGTCATCATAATAACGACTCGATGAATTTGTGTGGCGAATATTTTATTAGCTAAGAGTGGCTTTCTTCTGATCTGATTACGGCGTAGGTGGATTGAGTCATCGGACGACCGTTTGTTAGATTGTGGATGCAGGTCGACGTCTCCAGCTGGGTTTGGAGAGTTGGCCGCCACGGTGGGTGGGGGCAGCCTGCAAGAGATGATGGCGCCAGTAAAGCGAGATGAGGTTTGGGGGGTCGCATATGCCCCGAGTAGGCATGAGAATATTGCGAGAACATTCATCCACAATCTAAATTTTGAATATGAGGAGGCAGCGAACACATGAGATGCGTCAGAGTCATCATATGTCGCTATTAAATTAAGAATATGAGGCTGTCTTGTAACATTATGGATAGAGGAGTTGCTAAATTCCAAAGTTGTCCGGTTAGTGTCGTCATGTGGAAGAATAGTAGTAGTTCTTTGTGCACGGCACCGCCCGCTTCTTCTCCTTGCAGTCGAGTCAAGCGGTTCGTTCTATTCAATGCTGGCGCCCAAATTCTCCCCGCTTGACTTTGAGAGGGCTCAATTTGATGTAGACTTGTGAATCAAACGAATTCTAACATATTTTTAAAATATGTTGTAAAATTTTGTGGCCATAATATTCTTTGATCTTCACTCTATGTCTATGTCATGTAGGTTCGTAACATCTATTCAAAATTTATTCTGAGAATTTGAAAACTTAAAAGTGTTGTAAAAGACTAGAAGTTCTCTATCTCTTTTCTTCTAAGTTTTGATCATTCAAGAGAGGAGTGAAAATATGTAAGGGTTGTCTCCTAAGCCCATCAAAAGGAGTAAAGTTATAAAAGGATGGTTGACCTTCACCTATTAAAGGAAGGCCTCTAGTAGACGTCGATGATCTCGTCGGAGGAGGAAGCCAAAAGTGGATGTAGGTCAAGATTGACCGAACCACTCTAAATCTCGGTTTGCATTTACATTTTGCTCTCTATCTTAACTGCAAACTGCATCCGTTACTTTACTTCAACTATACTTTCATTTGATCTTAAGTTGAAGAACTTTCCGAAACGGTTTTCATCGAAAATGCTTTTATCGTACGAACGTTGTTTTAACCGACGAAAGTTTTCCGCTGCACTAATTCACCACCCCCCTCCCCCTCTCCCCTCTTAGTGCTCTTGATCTTAACAGTTGGTATCAGACCGGGGTTCACTCTCAATCAAATTAAAACCCAAGAGAGATGACATACGCCGAAAACCAAAAGGGTCACTCTATTACACGTCCGCCCATGTTCAATAGGTCGAACTATACCTATTGGAAGACCCAAATGAGGATCTTCCTTATTTCTATGGATTTTGAACTTTGAAATATTATTGAAAATAGATTTTCAAAGTCTTCTCTTTCAACGATCGATCGGAATGAATTGGAGAAGAAGACTTTCGCTCTTAATGCAAAGGCTATGAATGCCTTATTTTATGCGTTTGATAAAAACGAGTTCAATCGTGTTTCGATTTGTAAAACTGCATTTGATATTTGGCATACACTCGAAGTGACTCACGAAGGCACGAGTAGAGTGAAAGAGTCAAAAATCAATCTTTTAGTATATTCTTATGAACTTTTTCGAATCAAACCGAGCGAGACCATAGGCGAGATGTACACCCGTTTCATGGATGTTGTCAATAGTCTAAAAGGACTCGGTAAAAGTTTTTCGGATTTTGAGCTCGTCAATAAAATTCTAAGATCCCTTCCAAAGAGTTTGGACCCTAAAGTCACTGCTATTCAAGAGGCTAAAGATTTAAATAACTTCCCTCTTGAAGAATTAATCGGGTCATTAATGACCTATGAAATGACTTGGCAAAGCTTATGAAGAGCAAGAAGACATCATTCCAAAAAACAGGAAGGATATGACACTTAGAACTCTAGAAGACCACTTGAGAGAAAACTCAAGTGATGAGGACTTTGACGACGACTTGGCACTTCTAACAAGAAAATTTAAAAAATTTATTAAAAAAAAATAAATTTAAAAATGATACTAAAAATAAATTTAGAAATAAAAAAGGACCAAG